GAAACATATTTACCCCACACACACAAGTATCATTAAAACGATTAGGTCAAAGATTCCCAAATAGCGTATCTCGCTGTGTACAAACAAATATCAGTTCGTTCTTACCTGAGGGTATATAAGTGTATCGAGCTGGCGCTGATTCGGTGCCATCTTCGAAGTCAATTATTTGAATGTTGATTGGATGCCCCTCCAGGATATTAGGATTGTGATACTGGGGCATCTCTATCACACTGTAAGCGGTTTAGACACAAGTGTGAGTTAGCGACTGGGAAATAGCCACACAAACAGCAAACGACGCGCGAACTGAGCCGACTCGGAGAATCCTACCCAATCAAATAGAATCTTGCTCAATCAAAACAGAATCTTATTCAATCAAAATAGAGTGTGCATAACTGTTCGACGAATACGGTGCCAATGATTGGTTGCACACATGACTTACATGGCATACTGGTGATGGAACTGTATGATGCGCAAGGGTAGCACGCAAAACCCAAAGCCTGTGTTCGAATCGACAGTCCACTTCGCCTCGTCGTGCCTAACTGTGTTGGCCCCCACCTTCCCACTGATTTTGTCACCCAAAACCTCAAGCATAGCCGCATCTGATACGACCACCGTCGTCGTGGCTGTGTAGTAGATGCATCGTGTCGTTTTAGTTTAAATGATTCGTAGAACACATCGTCGACTGAACCAAGCAGTTGGTAGATGATATAGTATTAAAGAAACTATTTTTTTTTGTCGAAACATGTTATCCCCCCCACCCCCCCCTCTCTGATCTTGTCTCCAGAAGACCTCGAGCATAGCCGCAGCAATGCCTACAGTCGTCGTAGCTGCAGGCAATATTCATCGTATTGATGCTAAGAGCTCCTCCAAAATATAATCATAGGTTACATCGTGGCTACATGATGTCCTCCTCATATAACACATTCAATTGGAACGAGGTCAATTGACAAAGTAAAAGGTCGCCACCAAGGGCGTACGCTCGGTAATAACATTTTTGCGGGAAACTAATGGCAGGCTACAGGCACGTACCTTTCCGCACTTTCGAGCATAGCAGAATGACTTCATTTTGTCCATTGCAAGATCCGAACCCAGTGCTCAGTTTGTTAATCATCAGTTTAGCTGTGTTTGTAAGATCGAAGCATGTGATATTAGCACCCACTCGCCGTATACTTACTATACATCCACGGTTGGTAGAGTTGGGTCCCTCTCTCTTTGTTGTTGAAAGTTGCAAAGAATCGAGCACCCAAAAGTGGCACACCAGTCTCAGCAGTGACAGCAATTCGGGTGGGCAACAAACGTGGCAATAAGCGTTCCATGTGATTCTGCAAGTGTTGCTCCTTTGCGAGACATGTACAGCATCAATCAAAACACATACCATTGAAGATCGGGAAGGACACTACATAACCATAGAGTGTTTTATCTCCACTAGTGAACTGTAACTCAAACAGTAATCGACATGCGCGCTGGTCATCTTTGTTCCTCTTGGTATCGCTCTGCGGAAGAAAATGCGACAAGAAACGGTCACATGAGCGTCAGACCAACAGGTCAATCAATCGAAATAAAGAAACGCTGACCAAATATGGAGACTTCCTTCGACGAGGCACCGGACTACCTTGTTGCCGGTGTGCTTGCTCATCAATACAGTGAGATTGTCGAATACAGCCTTTCGCTGCGGCCCGAGCAAAGGCGCCTCGCTGGTTCCTCCGAGTTCGTGATAATGCGGCAGTACTTCCATTTTCTCATTCGTTGTCTGCGGAGTAAAGAAACGCTAAGGTCAATAAACTAGCAGATCTGTGGTTGGAAGATGCATTAATGTCTGCTAGCAATATGGCACACTATTCCAGATGACACGCAGAGTATCCCTAGACTGTGCAGATACATATACAAGGATCGCTGAGTATCTCTAGATTGCGCAGATACATGTACATAGGATCGTTTAGTATCTCTAGATTGCGTAGATACATGTACATAGAACCGTTTAGTATCTCTAGATTGCGCAGATACATATACATTGAATGGTTTGGCTGCATATATACACGGCAAGTACATATACATATGTATTTCTTGATTGTGTATGTACATAGCAAATACCTTCGTCACGATCCGGACAGTCACCATAGCCCCAACTGCCACCAAGTGTGAGTACGCAGGATTGAGCGTAACCTCCGGAAATCCTTTCTCGGCCGATAAAGGCCTTTCCCTTTGCTCGCTTTTATATCTGGAGTATACAGAGCAGGAAATAGAGCAAAGCAGTTAGTATATGTTGCCCACAAAATACGTCACGTGTAAAAGAGTTGTACTCGGTTGGATCTGTAGCGCCATCAGCTTTCTATGTCATACAAAGTCGGTGTCCCGTTCTCGTATCCGGAATACAGAAACCGCGATAGGAGATTCTCAAAAGGGCAGGTATGTAAGTGCTCAAACGACAATGCTCTTTGTTGACACCTACGACGAGGCATAAGCACGGATGTGAAGCCATGTACAGACACAGGCGAAAAGACAACTCTGAATCGGTCGAACTGCATCCGAATTTGACTCAATACCAACTGGCTAGGTCCAACCCTTACGATATGGGGGAAGAAAAAAAACAACCGGAGCACTCGCGGCCAAATTGCGTACCTAAACCTTCCGAACTGAGAAGGTGTATTGGTTATGGCCAGCAAGTCGTCGACGATATTGATCTCAGCCCCCTGCTCGATGAGTTCTGGCGGTAGCATAGACTGCGGTATAAGGACCTTGCTTGACTTGGGCTCGGGCGCCGGCGTATCCTTCTCCAGTAATGCCTCCAATTGGCGCATGTTCTGGCCCTTGTGACCGACATTTCCGGCATTAAAAGCCATCACATCAGAGCTGTGTGAATAAGGAATGTCAGGACAATCAGTCACGCGTTATAGACTGTGAGGTGTTGTATGAATGACTAGGCTAACGCTACATTGCGCACGTCTGCGTCCATATCTATTCTTAGTAGTGGCAGCGACTTCGATGGGAGTACCGCAAAAAGAGCTAGTTCAAACATGTTCTATTTGGTAGCCTCAACAGAGGGGCGGATGAGAAAGATAGATTAACTGGCACATGTGAGGGACATGGAGGCCCCGGGTATACGCGTGATGCAAACACTTGTGCGCTGTTAAAATAAAAAAACTGACTGTCCACTTACTTCAGTTGGCCCATTCCCGCAGTGCTGTTGTCTAAGAACACACCGCTGCCTGGAGGTGCCAGGCGAGACTCCAAACTTGTCGACGACTCACGCTGCCCCGTAGCAAAGGCGGTGTTATTGCCATGGTTACTGAAGCTCGCGTGAGGGCTGGCGGCATTGAAATCGTATCCGAACTTCATGTTGTGCATATTCAAATCCATCCGCTGAGTCGACAATTGCTGACTGTGAGGGATAGTTTTTAAGTGAGTGGTGCGATCCAGAGTCAGTTAAAATGCGTTGATAATGTGGTGAAGATATGTGAGTTTTAGCGCAAAAGCTATGGAGGCCTCAAAAGAGCTGGATGTTTTGCATCATTTTTTTTTCATTTCGTATGATCATATATAGGTCCATACGATAAGTCGGCAACTACTGGATGAGAGTCACAGTTTTGAGTTATGCGATTGAGAGTCATTCAAAATGAGTCATTATAAATCCGCTAACAGCTCCGTATGTTATAACGAGTGCCGGGTGTTTCGGGATCGAATCCGACCGAATCTCCTGTTGTTTATATGCAGGTCCAGTCAGCGGAGTTGGCAATTGTTGACTGTGCAGGGCAACGGTGCAGCCGATTGGTACAGGTGATGCGATAGAAATGTAGTTTCGACAGGTTTTATCAATATCAACCTTGATATTGTGGTGAAACGTGTAAACCTTCTAGTTACATAGTTTAGTCCAAGAGAAGTTCGTACTGGCGTCGACGATCTGTTCTATAGTGAAAACTCTTCATCATAATACATATGCGTGCACAGCTTAAGATACGGTACTCACTTGTAGCTGGATGCACCAAGGTTAGCTCCAAAGTTATCTGCATTCATTGGCGAACCCATTGCCATGTGTGGGGAGATCTGCGCACTCATTTGACTCCTTTGGCGAGCAATCTACGGGAGAAAAATGTAAAGTGAAGTAACCGACCCGTTAACACCATGCTAGACATAGCAATGATGTTTGCATATGTTACTTTACTTCCACGGAACAGTGACTCGCTAGTTTAGTTGGTGTACGCTGTAAGAGCTAAAGCAAGGCCCACATTCACACACGTGACGTTGGACAAACTACTCAGTGAATGAAATTTGCAATACCCCACCAAAGTGAAAATCAGCAGAGTCAGATTCAGACTATGTAGGTACACTACACCACACGCACAAACTTTTACATCAATAAATTCAATTTTTTTAGCACGCGCAGTCAGACAGAAGTCCTAGAACTGACATTCATCTATAGATTCGCTCCCAAATGAAAATAGGCACACGAATATCCAAATATTACAATCGACAACACACACATCTATATATTTAAATATACAAATACATCAATGTACTGGAATATACACACACTCGTAATAATTGGAACAAAACTCCGAGGATATAGAAATACTCAAGCAAAGAATAAAAGCCGTGAATTCGTTAGAATTACTACACAATGAATGAACATCGAATCTGGTTTGGGCTGAAAATGACAGAATTACAAGCAAATAGTTGATCACAATATCCATCTACACATTGTTACTTATCATAGGTTTCTATAACAAACTTGCACATTCACATACACATACATACACATACACGTTCACATATATATATATATGTATATATATAAGATATCAATATATATACATAATATATATATATATATTCATATATATATATATATCTATATATATATATTTATATATATAATATAATATATATCAATATATCAATACATATACATTATAAATATATATATATATGTGTGTGTATATAATTTAAATATATACCTATATATATATATGGGTATATATGTATATATGTGCGTGTGCGTGGGGAGGAGGGGGGTCGGTATGTTTGTATGGGTGTGTGGGTGTGCGTATATATAT